TTTTGTGACAACAACAACGTTGTGTCCATGGCATCAAACCCAATTTTTCATGCCCGAACCAAGCATATTGAGCTTGACTACCATTTTGTTCGTGAAAAACTGGCCTTCGGTTCTTTGCAAGTCAGATTCATTTGGACGTGTATCACATATATCGCAAAACATCTCATCAGCTAATCAAATAGCTAAAATTTTCACCAAGAGTCTTCCAAGTAATCTACTAGCATGTGTTTGTATGGGTGTTTCGGCTCCACCCACACTCAGCTTGTAGGGGGATGATAAGGATACGAATACAATCTAGGTTTATTATCTTTAGGATTATGATCTTTAAAATTCTGTTAGGATAAGGTAGGATACAAAGATAATAATGTATCTTTCCTATCTAATCTTTGTTATCACATTTTGCCTATAAACAAAATCCCTTCATATTAAACGTTTTTGGGTTCGAGGTTGAGGGCTAATTTACTATTTTTGGAAAAGATTCATCAATGCTAAATGCGTAGGTAGATGTCCTTCCTAAAGAGTTTATGGATGTTGTGATCTTGTAGGGATTTTGAGATGGTTTGTGTATGTAATGAGTGAATGAGATAGGTTCAGTGTATAAATTCACGGTATTCTACCTGCGTGCAATGAGATATTATGTTTTGAATTGTGGTATTGTCAAATGATTATACTCTGCTATGAAATTTACAGTTTTTGTACCGTAAACTTGAGATCGTTATTAAATGTCATTATTTTATTTCAAAGTTATGTATTTACTTTACAAACTGAGAATTAATTGTTTTATGTTTTCAAAATCTTGTTTTAGTTTGAAAAGGCTTTTCTATTTGGCTTTTTGCTCATCCTACGATATAACATTTTTCAGATATGGACTTGAAGAGGATATCACATTAGATGAGCATGTTGATTTTGAGGCAGAACTAGATCAGGATGTGAATTCAAATTTGGATACTCAAAGTTAATTCTGCCTAGTTTAGTTTTTATGAGATCAGATTATTAAACAATGTAATGAATATTTCCTTATTTATTTAGTTGCGAGATATTATTTCAGTTTTAGGATGTAAGTTTGAGAAGTTAATAATATTTTATTGAGATTGGTTTATCTATTTATTTAGTTGATGGATTGGTTTTTATGATTTAATAATTATTTTAGATGCTCTCATGATTAGATGTTATACATATAGTTTAAAGTTTCCAATGTTGTTTTTGGAGGCATTACAGGGTTCAACATTCTTCTTGGTTAATTGTTTAGTTTGAACAACAAATATGTCATTAGTACAATAGAACAACCTTGGTATGGTCATCGAGGTCATTAGTACAATAGTTTTTATAATAAATATTTTGTTAATTATTATTGTTTTCCATTAGAATTTTCAATTATTTCTTTTGTTTCTTTTTATTTGGATCTAATTCTACTACTTGACATATTTTATTTACAGACTCTATTGCTTTTTCTACATTATTTTGGTTCACTATTTGATTTTTTTTATACTCCTATTATATTACTAATACTATTTAAACTAGCACTAATATTACTTAAATTATTATCTAATTTTTTTTATCGATGTCTAAAACATGATTTTAATTTTTTTTTTAACTTGATTCAATACGTTAATTAATATTATTTGCTATAGTAGACTATTGATGGTATCCAAGACTTCTTATTATGTTGTAGTTCCATGTGCTTAAATCCAAGCTCAAAGGCCTTGCACAATATTCAATGTTGCAGTGCATGAGCAGCTCACTTAATTGTCCAATGAAAATGAAGCCGCCATTACTTTGTCGAATTGAATCACCACCTTTGGCAGCCAATTCATAAAATCCCATTTTGCTGTCAAACATGAACATGCATAGCTTGCATTTGGAGAAGTCACCTGTTTGCATGGGCGGAGCTACACACCGAGGGTGGGCACTCCTCAATTTTTTTTTTTAAAAAATATTATATGTATATTTATATTTATATATTTTAAAAATTATACATATATTTTTTTTTGTCTGTCCTATGATTTTCTTATTTCAAGTGTTTTTTCTTTTTATTATATTAAGGTTTTTTCCAGATGACCTTAATATTATTATTTATAAATTTTTATAAGTGAAAGTTTTTGTAATAGACCTTCATTTGACTTTTATTTTTTTTACAAGAAATATTCCCTATTTTTATTCGAGTATTGATTATAATCTTTATTATTTAATTTTAAATTTGTTTACTATATTTAACTCTTAAATTTTAGTTTAGTAATTTTATTATGTTAATATCTCAATGATAATGTTTGAAACATCGTTTATTGAATAAATTTAATAGATTATTAGTGAATAATTGATATTTTTTAATTATAAAAATGACAATTAGCTCTATTTTTTTACCGTGATAAAAATTAGTCATTTTTTTTTTTTACATATACAATATACATTATTTTTTGACCTTGTTTACATTAAATAGACTTTATATATCAAATATGATAAAATAAATATATTATATAGTGTGTTTGACTAGAAAGAAAAAAAATTAAAATATAAAATTAAAATGCATATTCTAAACAAAATTCCTGGCTCCGCCTTCACTGTTTGATTGCTTGAAGATGACGTCTTGGCCAAACATTCAATGCATTCTTATTGAAAAAGAAATCAACTGCCTTATTAGAAATTTGAGTCACCGCCAACAGGAAGAACCAATCCATCCCCATGGCAGATTTATTCTAAGTTAGATTAGAAGCTTACTGCTCTAGTCAAAGGCAAAAATTTCACCAACTACACTGCAAATGAGCCACAACCTATGAAAACATGTGGTAGAAAAAAAAAATCATTCCAAAAGTTTTTTAACTGTAGAAAAATATCAATTTTTCTACGCGATCTTTAATTCTAAATAATTCAACTATACACTCCCTACTCTCAAAACAATTCTATCAATCTACACCTATCTCTCTCTTCTCTTTCCTCTACTTATCTCTTGCTACTTAAAATATAAATATTGCATGACTAATACTAGTTTTTTTGTATTACAGTGTCTTCAAACACGGAATTATTGCTATTTTTTATATAATAAATATACACATAAATACTGCACTACTAAGGTAAGTTTTTTGGTATTACATAGTATTTTTAGACACAAAAATTATTTATATCTTTCTATATAATAAATAAACAACAATACTACATCCACTAAATTATTTACCAACTTTTGAATGCCAAATCAATATACACCGTAGGATCAGTAGGTTCCACAAATTCTCACTAACCATCCATCCAATGGCTATTAGTGAGACACATCATTTGGAATTCAAAAATTTTGTAAAAATTTTGGGGAACACATCATTTTCCATAAATACATTTGCTATTTGATCATGTTTATTTCCGCATGATTCTCCTAACACAAGAAGTCCATAGATCAAGGTTTATCGGAGATAAATGGTTAATGTTTTATGATCCTTTTAAGAAAACCAAGATACTTTTTTTTGGGTTTTTCTTCGCTTCTTTATTGGTACGTTTTGTTCGGTTATAAATGATTGAGCAATACTATTAGGATCTAATTTATTGACATAATTTATTGACTTAATTGACTGTGATCTTTGAATTTACTGTAGACTCAATCAAACATTAGAACTTGACGTTAATCTAATAATTCTTATGAAGTCATATCATTATATTAACAAATTAGATCAAATTTTTAAGTTCAAATAATATTATTTTAAATAATTTAGTTGTTATTATAATAATAATAATTAATTGTTTATTGTAATCGTGAAACACCGATTCTCGTCATAGATAAATACATCTCCATCTTCCTACCATGGCAGACAGTCCACAATTGGAGTCAAATTCAATGGAATAGATGACAATCCCAATGGAACTGTGTACAACCAAATAAACTTAAAAACGGTTTTCTTTAAGTGGCCCTCCCTCCTTCCCTTAATTTCTGCTGTTATCTTCTCTTTTTTTTTTTTTTTTTAAACTCGAAAAAAGGTCCAACGGTCACTCTTCTTTAATTAATGCCGATGTGACATAAAGCACTCCACCCCAAACTACCATTCAAACAAGTTAGAGATGTAAGCAAAGAATCTCTAGTTATATATTATAGGGTAAAAATAATTCATCCCTCAACTTTATTTTTAATTTTAATTTAGTTTTTGAATTTTTAATTATTTTAATTTAATCTTTTAATTCTTATTTTATTTTAATTAAGTCTGTCTATTCATGCCCATCGTTAAATCAACTAGAGATTTAGTTTAATCTAATCTATTTCATTTAACGATAAAAATAGATAAAATTAATAGTTGATAAAATAAATTGAGACATTTGAAAGATTAGATGTTAAATTAAAACTAGTGACAAAATTCAAGGGCTAAGTATAATTTTTACTGTATATGATCGGTGACCACCTTAACCAAAATTGACATCTACACTTTCTATGCGTCTCCTAGCTCTGCAGGTGCAAACATCAGCCACACTCAAATTTCGGCCAAAATTCATCACCTAGCAATTTGTTTCATGTGTCAAGGTCTCTGTTCTTCGGATTTACCGGAGTTATCTTTCATCACCATTGACTTTCAAACAACCCTGTCTCTCAAATTTTTTTGACTCGGTGGTTTCTTTTCTGGATGAGTCGGTTCCGGGTTGTACAAAATTTGTTCAATTTCAACCCTACTCATTTATCATCTAATAGGTAAATTGACATCTATGTATAAATGGTATGGTATTTAATAAAAGTTAAAAATTCTTTGTTTATAAACCGAATTCTATGGCAGTTTCGGGCCGGTTGTTAAAAATTATCAAGCCTCAATTCCAGAGGACCACACCAAGCATCCCATCCACCAGTATAAATCATTGTCATAACTTTTTATGCGCCTGAGAATCTACTTCGATCCATTCCGAGTGAGCTTGAATGAGAAGGTCTCGGCGTTATAGCATCTCCAGGTCCTTTAAGTTCAATTCCTGATTAGTTTACAAGTCACCATAAACTTCGATAGTTTACATAGCACTCACAAGCCCATTCTCAAAAAAAAAAAATGTCTACTGTGAGAAATTTAACGGCAGCCTATACCCTCGAAGTCGAAACCAATGAAGAAAAATCTAAGTCGTTGATCCCAGAATTACCCGATGAGATCACTGAACTGTGTTTGTATCGTATTCCGTACCCGTACCAATCCCAAGTTCGTTCAGTGTCTTCTTCATGGAACAAAGCCATTTCTCACCCTTCATTTCTCTATACCAAGAATCAATTGTCGCTTTCTCTACCTTACTTGTTTGTTTTTGCTTTCCACAAATCAACGGCTGAGGTCCAATGGCAAGCGATGGACGTTAAATCGGGCCGTTGGTTTGTACTACCTCCAATGCCATGCCCCAAGGCTGTGTGCCCACCTAGCTTTGCGTGCGCCTCAATCCCACATGAAGGGAAGCTATATGTCATGGGTGGTATGCGATCAGACACAGGGTATACCATGGGGACCATGATCACGTACCGTACGTCGACAAATCAATGGTTGGTACCCTCTCCGATGCGGACCCCACGAGCATTTTTTAGCGCAGGTAATATCAATGGTAAGATCATTGTCGTTGGAGGGAATGAGATTGACCTCGACGTTGAATTGTATGACCCTGAACATGACAAGTGGGTGGAGGGTGCTAAAATGCACTCTAAGTTAGCCAAATATGACGCGGTGGTTGTGGGGAGAAAGTTGTACATTACCGAGGGGTGGACATGGCCGTTCGTGTTTTCACCACGAGGTGGGTCTACGATTTGGAAGAAGACACATGGCAAGAGATGAGTGATGGGATGCGAGAGGGTTGGACCAGAATGGGCATGGTGATGGGTGATAGGATATTTGTGATATCTGAGCATTGTGACTGCAGGATGAAGGTGTACCATCCTGATGAGGACACATGGGAATTCGTCGATGGAGAAAGGTTCCCGTGTAATGCACTCATGAGGCCGTTTGCTGTGAGTGCAGTGGAGGGAAGGATATATGTGGTGTCTAGTGGATTGAATGTGGCAATTGGAAGGGTGTTTGAAGAGCAAATGGGGAAGTTCTGGGTGGATTGGGAGGTTGTGGACGCTCCAGAAGCTTTTCATGAATTTTCACCCTCTAACTGTCTGCTTCTTTATGCCTGAATTCACCCTCTAACTAAGTTTTTACTCGGACTAGTTATGGTATTAGAATTTTTTACCAGATTTCTTGACCATGCATGATACCCCAATCTCATCCATACAAATCAGTCATTGCTACATTAAGAACTTGAACACAACATTTTGTGTAGGGCTTGTTAAGAGCTCTATTCACACATCACTTCCGATATAAAAGCTCAGCCAATTGCTGGCACAATGAGGCTGATGAATCAAATGTTCATTGTACCACAGCTGATGTGTTCTTTTCAAATTCTTTTTTACCATATGGAATGGAATTTCATGAGAGAGAGAGAGAGGAGAGAATTAGAAATGCATTACATTGAAACAATGAATGGTCCGCAATGTACTATATATATCACGATAATGTATAAACTTTGATGGTAGCTTTCAAACATTGGACATAGGATGAGGGTGGGAGCCCCCAATTGCGGTATTTGACTCTGGTATATGCAATTATGCATTCTTTGTTGAGGTCGAGTCTACAGAGACAAGGCAAACTATTCAGTACCTGATCTGATTGATCTAAGGAAGATAAGATCAAGTGTCAACCTTAGCTGCAAAACAACAGGCACATACATAAATATAAAAGCAAAAGCCAAAAAGAAAAGAACAAGAGAATATATCATGCTTCAGAGAACCACTACATCATATAGGCGAATAAACAGAGACTTGGTCCTTAATATAAACCTAATTTTCTACCCAAAAAATTCCCACCGTGGCTGCGTAATAATAGAGGAGTTGGCTATGAGCTACAACTCAGTTTCAGGACACAGTTCTTCCAAGTATATTGGGAGTTGGTTTGTCAGTATGTCAAGTGCCAGGACATTAAGTTGTCTCCTGTCAAAGAAAACTATTCCTGCCCCTTTATTATTCGGGTTACAACACCAAGAGCAACAGTTCTTCCTGATGATCTAAGGAAAACCCTCCCAAGAGCTCTACAAGTAGAATACTCTTCCACACAAACCGCTTCATGAAGAGCCACCTGAAAAAAAATGAAGACGTATCATCCTCAGTCCTATGGAACTTCAACTGTCATTTAAACCAAGTCTCAACTACCACAATCTGGTTTGCCAATCTGAAAAATTTAAACGAGGACATCATGATCACTATAATCATTCCAACAAACCTCCACTACTGCACTCTGCTTTGCCATCAGAAATCGTGGTGCCTTCTTTGTCACCTTTCCAGTCTTTGGATCGAGCAATGACAATATCTTTACTACCCTGGCAGCCTCCTTTGCATGGTGTATGTGAAATTCCAACTGCTCGTTTTCACACGAGATTTCATTCATGTGTTCACAAAACTTGTGTATGTGTGTAAAGGTACATATCTGTGTATATATATATATATACATGCGCGCACACACACAAACACACACAATAAATAAAGCTATATCTCATCTACAAGAAATGGTACCTGAGAGCCAACAAGAATTGGGGTCGTAATATCCAAAACCAGAATCTTCACTTCCAAATGGTTTGCAACTGCAACTGGAAAATCAGGGTGACACAACACACCACCGGCCATCACATGACTCCCATCGATGCCTTGTAGACTGACACCCACATTGTCACCAGCTCTTGCAATACTACAAACCTGAGAGTCACGCTCCACGGAACGCACTGTCCCTATGCCTCTAGATGGCATAACTAGAACCTGCAACCAACAGGCATAAATCACTGCCGTTATGTCAGCAACCAGATTGGCTTGGCAGTTATACTACTACAGTAGTTCCAAATCTACCTTTTTTTTTAAAATCTACCTCAACTCAGCAATCCATCGCCCAATGTCTCACCTTTCAATGAGCCAATAAGGTATAATAATCACAGAATCAGGCACACTACTAGTTCAAGAGCAATAATTGTGCGTGCCCGCCTGCCCCCGGGGGTGGGGGTGTTGATGGAAAAATACATCTAGATAAATTTAGTAGCATCTTCATATGGAATTTTCTGAAATGATCAACCGAAAAAATTGCAAGTACATGATGGAAAAATCTGCTCCCTGCCTTGAGAACATTGATGCACTTGAACCAAAAATGATGTAGAAGCATGATCCTTTAAAGAGAATGTTTACACTACCTATAAAATTTACTTTATAGTGGTCGACATCCTCAAGAAAAGGGACAAGTTACTTCATACTCATAGTCTTTACATCTAAGTTTAGAAAATTAGAGCAGGAGGAGGTTTAGGATAGATAACTCTCTCCTAGCCCCACCTTTATGGAGAAAATCTCCTACCCAAACTGCCGTCTACGTAGTCATCAGAGCACTAAATATAAATAAAGCATGCAGAAGCATGCGCACACACCGGGGGATAGCAGAAGCAAAAGCATGGGGGTCCTTTAGAAGCGGCTTCCGTCAAACACTAAATTTGAGGCATTGGTTCTTCCATTTATAGATTAAATTAAAAAGCAAAACAAAGATGAGAATTCATTGTATGAGACTGTTTCTAGACATTGCTTCATCAACACAGTACCACCTATTACTCTCACATTGTTTTGATTAACAGAGAACTAAAAGTTAGTAAGCCAAAATGAAACAGCTCACATGGACCGGTGACACTAATTAAAGACGATCCACTTCCTTAACTAAAGCTTTTGCAACAGCCATCCACCTTCCCTTTGTTTACATCCAAGATAATGCAAAGCACATCCCATTCCACAAACCAGCGCACTGTCCAGCCATTCCATTACCATTTCTGTCCGAGCACAATATAACAGAGTTGTGGCAGACCAGTTTTCCTTACCCATCTATCTCACTGCCAACTCCGCTTAACAATCTTATTACAGACATGGCCATGAAACCCTACCCCCCTCCCAAAAATAAAAAAAATCTCCCCCGCCCGCGCGTGCGGGGGAGGAAGGGGTGGGGGGTGGTGTTATACGATGTGCAGACTTGGCGAAACACTAGAAAAATTAAGGTGTAATATTTGCAAGGATCAAAATATCGTTTCGAAACGTCCAAAACGTTTCCGTTTCTAAGGAGACCGAAACGAAACAATGATGAAATCGAAATTCTAATATTTCGAGGTATTCCATAATATTTTTAAATGTATTATAATATTTCAATACATTTGCACAATTGTTTTAGAATGTTTTAAAGTATTTCAAGATACTTTAATATATTTCCATCAATGTTTTAAAAAATAATTATTAAATTTTTTATTTTTTTTATTATGTTTTCGAAACGGGTTGAAACGTTTCTATTTTTTAATTGACCGAAACAATACACCGAAACGATATTTTGATCCTTGAATATTTGACAAAAAAAATTTATATTTTCCTCTGATGCAATAAAGAAATTTTCCAAAAAAAAATCAACAGGAAGATTCGTATTCAAACTTGAACAAATGAAATCCGCTACTCAATACATACCTTAGAGCCACTTCTAAGAGCTCCAGCCTCCAATTTTCCACATGCGGACACCTGCCCTTGTGTTTGGGATTTGATGACATCGCAAATGGGCATCAGTAGGGGCCTTGAGTAATCTCTTGCAGGATTTTGGAGAGAATCAATTGCATCCAGTAGACAAGGTCCCTGACACCTGCAATTCAATCATCTTAGTAAGTTCTCTATAAGCCATGGACCATTCAAAAGCTCAACATTCACATTCTCATAAGTGTGCTATGCAACATCATTCTCTGTCCTTTCTAATTCCACCATGACCTGAAAGCATACTTACAATACATTGAAAAGGAAAACATTGGAAGGGTCATTTATTTTGTGTGTATGATGTCAAATGTTAGGCTTTTAAATCTCTCTTAGCACCTTCGTTTAATAGGAATCTAGCTGGGTAATAGCTTTTTCTAATGATGATGTCAGTTTAGAAAGTCAGGGAAGAGAGAATTACACAAATGCCAAGTCTATTTAAACAAGAAAGTAATAAGAAAAGAAAAAAAAACAAGGGACATAAAAATAATAAAATACAGCAACAAAAGCAGTACAATTAAGAGTTTTCAAAAAAAAAAAAATTCAGTTCTCTTTCTTAAGTTTGAGGTTTTAAGTTTTAAAAGGCTTGCCTGACTTTTCACACAAAATGAACTGTTAGGTAAAACAGCAACTATCTTGCTTCATTCACAATCCCATTAGAAGATTTAACATACACATCACCAAATTCAACAAGAAACTGTCCACATAAGTAACAAATCCAATAAACAGCTGAGAAGATTGCAACCCCACCAGAGCAAGTTCAATAAGGACGATGATATTTAGAAGTAGCTGATCCACAGAAATTGTGTCAGAAAGATGCATGACATTGCAATTTTAATTTCTCTGGGATATGCGAGATTGTTTTGTCCTTTTATTAAGTAATATAATTTCAGTCGCTCAGAAAGAAAGAAACAGAAGAATAAGTTGCCTACTTTAACTACCCAAGTAAATGGCCCAAGAAGAATTGCTATAATTTAAACCAGTCACAACTGTCAAATACGCTAACAGAACACTGTCAATTTTTAATTTGGTTTAATGAAAAATTTTCAGACTATAGGCAAAGGTCTTTTGACTTGAGCATTAGGGTTTATCTCTAAAGCGCCTCTCTTTGTTCTACATTAATTAATTTGGATCTCTTTGCATTTATTATCCTCATTGTCACAGCTACAAATTGTTGCAACCAAACCCAAGTATAGCTGAAAATTGCTAATCCAAAGTTTAAACTGACTTGGCAAAGCCCTGCTTCAGCAAAACTATTCTCTTTTTTTTTTTGTATGACTTAAGCACAACCCTAACTTTAACACCATATGTACCTTGTTCAACCCAGATGACCCCCAATCAGGGTGTGCAATGACCACAAACATGGTGGGTCGTCAATCTAGATCGTTTAAATTTCCAACCCCAATTTGTAACCCTATATCCAAATTAATTCCCTTTGGAACTGGTGTCACATATATACATATTAACTAAGTGTGTATGAATGTATAATCATATATAATTTCATAATTGGACAACAATCATAGATGCAGCATAAGTATTGATTGACTTCGTGCATATAGAAGTATTATGTATATTATATATACTTTTGTATATTATTAAACGCTATTTAGATAAGAGTTCCAAAACGAATGATGATCCAAAACAGCATACCAGATAACTCTATCCCATTGTACTATATACCCAAACAACTATCGTACCGCATACCTGTACAAAGTACAAAATCGACCCACGGTTCAGGTAATATTAGTTAGGGTAGTCAAACTCGATCAAAGAAAGCTCAAACAATAAAAAATATTAATCTCAGCTCAAGTTGATTGCACTTTTAGTTACACATAATGTTCAGAATGTTTCTGGCTACTAAAGCTACTCTAGAAATATGTTCTACTTCTAGCTATGTGAGTGAGTGTTCAATGATCCAACATTGCCTTCTCTTTACGCTTCCAATTCATATAGAAATTAAGTTCTAGGGAGAAAAAAAAAAAGGAAAAAATAAACTGAGAAGATCCTACACATCTTAAAATCTTGGAGACTTGAAGTGAAAAAGGCCAACAAACTAACCAGGAAAATAATCGTACATCTGAAGGAGCAGCCACCAAATTTTGGTTTTCCATGGCACTCAAGGGAATCCATGACACAGAAGAATCCTTGAAGCCACAAGTGCGAAGAAAGGTTCCAAGTTGCAGTTTTATCATATCGAAACGTTCCTTAGCATATTTCACAACATCCATTTTGTTAATCGCAACTACAATTTGATCAACACCAAAACTTCTAATAAGTTGTGCATGCTCCCTTGTTTGCCCTCCAGTAGCATCCATACCTGTTTCGAATGAACCAATTGAAGCATCTATAACAAGAATTGCCGCATCTGCCTGAGTTGCACCAGATATCATGTTTGGCACAAAATCTTTATGACCCGGGGAATCAAGCAGAACAACATGATATTTTTTTGTATTGAAATAAGCAACAGCCACCGTCATTGTTATCCCCCTTTCCCTTTCTTCAGCGCTCTCATCCAATGCCCATGCATAAGCAAAGGACCCCTTCCCCTAATTTAATAACAAACAGCTTGTAAATCCAGTAAACCACAATTTAACCGCTTGAAAAGCATTCAATAAAAGAATATTAGCAAGATTACTAGTAATTTAGCCTCTTTTTCATATTTGTGAATTTCTTTTTGGGATATTCGCCCCAAAAGGTGTAGCAGCCTTCCAGAGAGTGTTGACTTCCCAGAATCAACATGACCAACCTAAGAATTCAATTAAAAAAAAATGTTACTAAAATGATGAAAAAGAAAAGAAATATTTGAATATGAATCAACAAACAACTTAATTTCACAAATTGAGTGACAGACATTTGGTTGTTAACTTACAATGGCGAGATTAAGTTGATTCAATCTATTTTCTACTTGGTCAGGTAGCATCCACTTCTCAGGTCTATACTGTGATTTTGATATAGTTCTTCCCTCGCTGACATTCTTTGAGCTTCCAGATTTGGTAGATAAAGACATACTATTCATACTACTAGAAAGACCTTGTTGCTTGGCCCCACTCACCGATAAAGAATCACTCTTCTCCTCATCATTATGTCTTCCTTTTGACAAAGATAGTGAAGAGCTATCAGACCTTTCAGCGCTTGACTCTAGTTCACTATTCTTCACCTTTACTTGAGATTGAACATCAGAAGATGATAACTTGTCAAGATTAGCTGTGCATGTAAAAAGCCATATTATGATAGAAGAAAATCAAGGTCCAACTAAAAAATGAAAGGAATCCAGTATATCTCGCTTGCTATCTCCATTAAAAAAATGAAATAAACTAATAAAAATTAATAAATAATAAAGTAAAAAAAAATTTAACTAAAATGCTCACAAAACAATTGCTAATTTTAACCATCGAAAGAACATGGTAGAAAACCCGGTAAGACTTCAAAAACCAGAATTGACGAAAATCGACAAAGGGTGACGATTGATCTTCTACTAGTTCCATGTGAAAACGAGAGAGAGAGAGAGAGAGAGGAAATTTTGGATATTCCAATGAGCAATGGCCTGTGTGATCCTAATTTCTTAATGTTGTACAGGGTACAAATCTAGATTGCAATAAAGCGAAAACTACATACTGATCTACTGAGTCATCACCTCTTTTTCTTGTATCAGTATTTTAGTAAGGGATTTTTTTAATACTAAATTCTTTTTATCCAAAAGCATCTAGGAGACATGGGAAGGGCATACAAGGTCAATATGCTGATCATGATTTAATTCATGATATGTCCTCCTCATTACATGCTATTAGTAATAAGTATTCGTCTTTGTCTTCTTTTTTTTTTGACAAGGTCAGCTAAAGGATAATGTCTTTGTTGTATGTTCATTCAGATGGAGTCATTGTTGTTTATGTGAATCACTCAAGTCAGGGCACTGACGTCTTTTTACCAATCAAGACAAATTGATCTCGAACCTCTATAAATATAAATAGCATCATATCAGATCTTTACTGCAGCTACTGTTCTTATCTCTATTGGATCAGAGATTCTAAGATTTATAGGCCTAGTTTAAGCTTACACCCAAGAAGCAAATCTCTCCGGTTCTCATTTTAAAACTGAGTTTTTTTATAAAAAATAAATTTATTATTGGGGAGAATTGAGAACCAATTTCCAATAAGGACAAGATATCCTCAAAGGCAGAGCAACCTAGAACGAAAGACATAAAGAAAGACAGAAACAAAAGACTAAAGGAAAGCTGCCTTCCAACTCTGTTGAAGCTCGACAAAAGATTCCCACTCAAATTTCCCATGGCTTTGGTCCAAAAAGAAGCCACAATACAATTTTGTTCTACTAATTCTAAAGGAGGATAGCGGTCATTGAAAATTCTTACATCCCCTTCAACTCTGTATACACCAAAGAACTGCCATTGACATAAAATTTGTAAGAACTTAATCTGCAACTACTCCAATATGGAAAGACAAATCCAAGCCTCAGTAATCACATAGAATAAGTTATTCCAGTATCCCATGCTAAAGAACAATGAATGGATGTGCAAGTAATCTCAATAAATAGTCGATATTTACTCAATCAAGGATATCAAATCAAACAGAAGCCTTAACTTTTGACAGAATTTTGGCTTTCCAAATGAATTTTTCTAAAGAAAAGGACTGAACATTCTAGGAACTTACAAGACGAGTACCAAAATCTATGAGAGAAAGTTGCCTAAGCTATCCACAGTCCAAAGCCTACGATCATGAGAAGAACAAAGATGAAAATTATATAGTATCAAGAAAGAAGACAAATATACTACTTCTCTATTATTGAGGCACCTAAGGAAATGGAAACCCAAGGAAGGGTCCTCCCCAAGTCCCCATAACAGAAAACCTAAAAGAGAAGCCTCTTAGGGGGAGTAAAGGCGATCAAGACGTGAAAAAACAGTATTAACAGATGAATGTCCAACACAAATATCCTCTGAAATTATAATTTTAAACCCATCTCTCACCATAGAACAAGTCAAAGGAAGAAATCATGATATGCCTGTGGAATGAATTTCAACAACCTATATGTGAGAGTCTATGACTTGGTTTAGTATCCCACCCATTTTTCTAAAGACTACACATACTCCAAACTATTCTATGCCAGCCAGCAGGAATTGGAGTCTAATAGAAATCATCATAATCCTTTACCCAAAAGGAAAATATTATGCCAAACTATCAAGTCCAAAACTCTCCTCATCTATAGGCCTGCACACATCTCCCAACTCACTAGATCGTCTCACCTATCACCTCCCATCCTTAACCAAAGAAAATCTATCATCGTTGTTTGTTAGAACCTCCAACCCAAAACCAACTGGTAATAGGCAGAATATACTATAAAACATATAAATCAATCTTGGATTCATTTAATTTTTTGATGTGGGATAGTTCTCTTAACACCCTCCCTCATGTGCGACTCGAACTCGTAGGCTAACTACTGAAACTGTAACCGTAAGATTGAGGAATTCAACTGAGTGAAAACTTAATCCACTAACTATCCAAAGCCCAACTCAGTTATTATTTTAGAACATCCACCCTAAAATCAACTACTAATGAGGTGGAGTAGCCCCTCAAGTTAATAAATCAACCTTTGGTCTACTTACTTTTTTTATGTGGGATAGCTCTCTTCAAAATTTCCTCTAACATTCTAGTACTAGCTACAAAAATTCTAATAGAGACAACTAGTAAAACAAAATACTAGATAAACAAGCTTTTATCTAAGTAATTCATCCCCCTGAATTCGTCTTGTTCACAAACCATACAATCTTGAGTCGACCCTTTCAAAAATCGAGTTCCAAAAAGATATGATCTTGAATTACCAAGGGGAAATCTAGATGAGACATAGGCCACTCATGAATAGTGCATCTCGCAACTAAAGCAAAGTCTGCAGCAACCCTCCCTCTAAATTAATGTTTGGCCCTCCATATTTTGCCGTATTTACTTTTAGTCTAAAAGTTTTCCAAACATCTTAACCAATTGTCGCACATCCTAAAACCCCCCATTCTTTTTCTTTTTCAGCTGCACTCCGATAGGTTAAAGGCTTAAAGTAATAAAAGAAATATTAGGGTCAAAGAAAACGAGAGAAGATAGAAGAAAGAGACCGGGAGAAAAATCAGTGGTATAAGTTATGTTACCCAATAGTCTCTTATTTATAGTAAACTGGTATTATGGAAATTATAATCAAGGTTCAAGGTATTGGTCGAGTCCGATATGACTCGGCCACCCCTGATACGATAACGATATACGATACACAAAAAGCCCAAGTTTGTCCAGTATTAGCGATAACTCGGCCACGACTCAAACATATCGGCTCAATTCGGTACAACTTGGACGATTCACATCAAAATTGGTCCGATACGTCAAAATTTTTGTAAAGTTTCCAAAACTCTCGGACTAACGGCAAAAATCCAATGAAAAAAAAAGAAAGGGTGAAGAATGCCAAGACTCATGTATACAGAAACACATGAAAGTCTTAGATTTTTAAACCATAGATAGCAGAAATTACAACAAATTCACCTCTCCGTTGCAACTATATAAACCCAAGAAGGATTGTAAAGATTCGAAAGACATACTTGTGAATCCAATAGATAGAAACCCATCTTCTCCTTATTCTTCTTCGTTTTTCATCTACCTTTTCACTGAAATTTGTGGCAAACAACCAATGATTTCTGATGCCTAGCCCCATCCTCCTTTGCAATGATCGTCAGTGCCTGCTTCGAGTTCCAAGGTCGTTCTCTCTTGCTCTCTCTTTGTTATTGGTGAAGTGTCTTTGAGACGCAAACAGTCTTTTGAGAGTGTCTAACTGTCAGTGGTATTAAAACACTTAGACTTTCTTTTCTTTCCTTTTTTTTTTACCTCCATTGCTAATTTTAACTTGTGATTATTTTTTGGGGGTAATTAACTTTTGAGTACACTTTTGACTAAGTTTATTTTGGCTAAATTTACTGTTTGATATACCATGGGATAAATTAGCATTTCTTAATTTTTGAATATTTAAAACTAAATAATAAAATTATAATAGATTTATATTTAAATTATTAATTTATTGGCAATAATTATGGCTTGGTAAGTTGTTAAATGATTAAATTGAACACTTCTAAGGATAAAGATTTTTGGTAACGCCCTTACATTTTATTTTTATTATGTTCAATGCGATACATTTATTTTTATTATGTTCAATGCGATTGTGTATATATTGTAGACATATGATGCATGAATAATGTTGTTTATATTTTCTATAATTTTCATAATTTTTTCAAAAATTTATGCACCTTTTATCTAGCATTTTGAGCATATCGGTCGATATCGTGCTGCAAATGATGTGTATCAATACCCTCCAAGTCAATAACTGATACCGCGACCTTGAACCATGATTACAATATAATCCTACATTACTAATAATATAAATAAGAACTCTAACACTCCCCCCAAGCTGGAGTTTAAAAATAAAAATTGTCCAGCTTGGAACAAAAATTATTGAAGATAGGTCGAGCTAATGATTTTGTAAGAATTTCACCTAGTTGATCACTAGACTTGATGCATGGTGTGATAACCTCCTCACGTATCAAGAGATCTTGAATAAAATAACAATCCACTTTAATATGTTTAGTCCTCTCATGGAATACTGAATTGCTGGCAATGAAAACAGTTACTTGGCAGCTGCAATGCATTTCTATATGAGAGGGCACACTGATACCCATATCATGAAATAGAGAACAAACCCATAACATCTCACAAGCATTATAAATCATGGTTCGTCAACCTTTGCACTCTAATGTGCAATCACATTCTGTTTCTTATTACGCCAAGTAACAAGACTATCACCAAGAAATGTACAATAACTAGAAGTAGATGTCTATCAGTACGACTATCTGTCCAATCAGCATCAAAAAAACAAGTCAAATATAATAATCATTTACCCAGTGCTCCTTTCAGAAATCAAAAAACACGACAAATAGCTTCCCAATGAGGCTTACGAAAAGAATGCATGAACAGACTAACTACACCAACAACATAAGTAATGTCAGTGTGTGTACCGGTAAGGTAAATCAACTTGCCAACCAAACTTCAATAACGCCTGTGCATCATTAAAAATTTCATTACCATCAAAAAGGGTGGAGTCCATGAAAGTATCAACTGGTCGTGCACCAAGAGTACTAGTTTTAGACAATAAATCCAATATATACTTCCTTTGGCACAAATTGATATCTTTCTTTGACCAAGCAATTCAATCCCAAGAAAATACCAAAGACATAGGTCTTTGGTATGAAACTACTTCCCTAAATAAATCTTAAACTGAACAATATCATCTGAGTCATCACTGCTAATGATAATGTCATCAACATACATAATAAGGATAATTACATCTAACTGAATGGTTAGAAGTAGAGCGCTAAAAACCATATTGAAGTATAACAGTATTGAACTTATTAAACCAAGCACGTGGTGATTGTTTCAGATCTTCAAACGGCACACTAACAATTCCTTACCAGATACAACATAACCTAGAGTTTGTATCATATATATCTCCTCCTACAGGTCTCCAGGTAAAAAAACATTCTTAATGTCTAGTTAATACAGAAGCCAATCACAACTCACTGCAACCGAAATAAGAACTCTAACAGAGATAAGACCTGCAACAAGAGAGAAAGTCTCATAATAATCCACACTATACGACTGGGTGTAGCCTTTGGCAACTAGATGGGCCTTCAAATGCTCAATTGAATCATTAGGATATTACTTCACTGTGTAGACCCAACAACAACTAACAGACTGTTTATCAGAAGGATGAGTAGTAAGGTTCCATGTCTAATTCTCATTAAGAGCTTTCATTTTCTCGTCTATACCAATTTCTATCCAAGAGATATCAAAGCTTGTGTCAAACTAAAAACAAACATCAAAGACAAAATCGATGCAAAACAACGAAAGGATCATGAAAGCAGATACAAAGAAACAAAATTAAAAATGAGATCCTTTGTACAATTACAGGTACATTTCATCAATGCAATAGGCAAATCAGAAGGTGATGAACTAGTTGAAGGCTCTGGAGGCAGGACTTTAATAAAATCAGGTAATGGTTGTGGAGCTGGAGTACATGAAACAACCGGTCTATCCTTGGAACGATGATAAAATTGCAAGGGATGAGTAGGACTCGGAGAGGAAGAAGACACACAATCTAGCACAATAGGCAACAAAAGCTCCCCTCAATTGGGAAAGACTAAATTTAGAGAAAGTGTGTCGCCAGACATAGAAAAGAAGATGACTCAAAAAAGGTAACATTAACTTTGACACAGTATCGACTAAAAACAAGGTCATAACAGTGGTAACATAACTTTTTTGAGTACAAGAATACCCCAAAAAGACACTTAACCGAGTGAGGTGAAAATTTATACCTACCTAAAGCAAGGATATAAACAAATACAACACAATCAAAGACACGAGGATTGAGATTAAATAACAATTTATTAGGATAAAGCAACGAGGATTGTCCAAAATGGGCGAACGCATGCGATTAATAAGATAAACGGAAGTAAGAATAACATCAACACAATAAGGTTTTGACACATGCATCTTAAATATTAAGGTGCGAGAAACATCCAACAAATGACGACGCATACGTTCGACAACACCATTTTGTTGGTAGGTATAAGGACAAGTGATTACATATACGATGTCACCGTCAACACAAAAGATTTTCATAAATGATTGAATATTCTCAAGGACATTTTCAAACCGAAGTATTGTAATACAAACATCAAACTAAGTCAGAATTTCATTAAAAGGTGGTGATGGCCTTGGGTGACTCAAATCGGTCTTTCATAAGAAATAACTAAATCATACGAGAAAAATCATCAACAAAAATCACAAAAATACTGAGAAACAGAAGTACTTTTGAATCTTGCTGGACCCCAAATGTTTATATAAACAGTATGGAACAAATTGGACTAGTGACTTAAAGAACTAAGAGGAAAAGAACTAAAATGATGTTTACCTAATTGGCAAGCCTCACATTCTAGAACAGAAAGACTCAAACCAAGAATAACTTGATGCAACTTTTACAAAGAGGAATGACCCAATCGGAAGTGCCACTGAAGAGGAGACACTGAAGCACTCAAGGCAAGAACAGAACAACCAGGATCTAAGTAGTACATGTCATTTCTCTTATGCCCCAAACCAATCACTTTCTTTGTCTTGAAATCCTAAAAAATATAAGAGGATGGAGAAAATGTTACAAAATACTGTAATGACTTAGTGATCTAGCTCGCAAACAACAAGTTAGAGGAAAAATTAGGAACAACCAAACCAAAAGTTAATGACATAGATTGAGTAGGACGAAGATCAGCAGTCACACGGATTAGTCGAAATGAGCCACCGGCTAATACAATACGTGAATTAAATAAATGAAAATTAGAGAATAAAGAAGATATACCAGACATATGAACACTAACCCCTGAATCAATGATCTAAGGTGACGAAGAAGGTTGAGCAACCACACATGCAGAGTTACCTTCGTTAACAAGACCGATAGTAAGAATAAAAAATGGATAGAATGAAGATAACTGTTGGATGAACTTACAAAACTGAGAAGAAATATCAATATGAGAATCAATAAAAGATGTAACTGGGCCATTGGTAGAAGTCTGATGTACAAAAGAGCTCAAAGTATCCTTAGGAGCTTGATGCGCATAAGTTGTTCTCCTATATTTATCCCAACAATAAGACTCAGTATGTCCTTTGCAACCCCCAATAAGCACACTTCCACTCAAAATGATAACTACAACCAGAACCAAGGATCAAAATATCGTTTCGGTGTATTGTTTCGGTCAATTAAAAAATGAAAACGTTTCGACATGTTTCAGAAACGTTTCGACCCGTTTCAAAAACATAATAAAAAAAATAAAAAATTTAATAATTATTTTTTTAAAACATTGATGAAAATATATTAAAGTATCTTGAAATACTTTAAAACATTCTAAGTGCAAATGTATTAAAATATTATAATACATTTAAAAATATTATGGAATACCTCGAAATATTAGAATTTTGATTTCATCATTGTTTTGTTTAGGTCTCCTTAGAAACGGAAACGTTTCGACCGTTTCGAAACAATATTTTGATCCATGACTAGAACTACCATCACGTCTATAACCCAAAGTAGACATGGAAAACCCACAATAAATTAGGCAAGGTCGAACCAAAAAACAAAGCGATCCTTAATCCTGAATGTCGAGTCTGGATTTCAATCCCAAATCACACAAAAATCACCCAAACCGGGTCAAGACAACACAGATGACAACTTAGAAGCAATAAATCACCAAAAGAAAAATAACCGATTAAGGAACCCAGCACAATGTCGACACTAAATCAAATACTCCACGCAACAGAACAACAACAAAATAGGATTGGATGTCTCAAAATCGTGAAGCATCACAAATATGCATCACAAATATGCACCTAACAGCCAGAGGACTGAACCGAAAATCCACCATAAATCAACAATCACAATCAGAACCTGAAACAATTTCAGCACTATCCAGTGACGAAATAGCAGTAGCCAAAACCCAATTAGCCACAAACAAACACATCAAAACTAGCCTAAACTAGCTGGGCAATCCACGAGGCTATTCTCAAGTCCAAATCAAGACCGTAGGCAACAAATCCAAACAATAAACCAAATAGAAAAGCCCCAAAATCGTAGGAGAGAAAAAACCAAGATGAATAACCCACAAACAACCACAATAGCAACAAAACACCAAAAACGCAGCCAAAAAACACACCAAATACACAAATCACGTTGGTAAGGATCCAAAAATTCACAACAAAGATCAACCCACACCAATAGGCCCCATAGGCAAGCACACTGGAGCCACAAAAAATCCCAAACATCAATCCAAAATAGTAACCACAACTGTCAAGTGACTTTCAAGCAAGCCGACTGGCCACCGAGCACAAAAAACACCTCAAATCCATCCAAAGAAGGTTGGGCTACTCACAGAACTCCATCTCCAATGGCCAAATCGCACCCCACCAAGCCAGATCGAAGCAACAAATCAGATGAAAAAAGGCCATAACCAGCAAATCAAAACACAACCCTAATTTTTTTCGAAAATATTTAAAAATAGAAAACTTTATTCAAATACTTCAAAAAAAATAAATAAAAATCACCATAAATATCACCATGAAATTCCAGTCCTGGAGACGGTTCTGATGATCAGGATATACTGACGTTAGCATGACATCAGCCTCTGACAATGATGTCAGCGAAAACTAATATAAGGGCCAGAGAAAACTAGAGATAAGATGGAAAAAAGAGATTGGAAGAATAATAAATTGTGTAGGCTATGTTGTCCTACACTATCTTATTTATAGTAAACTAATATTATGGGAATTACAATATTAGCCTACAATACTAATATAAATAAGAACTCTAACATGATATTTTAGTTGCTACCTAATATGCTAGAGTAAACGAAAATATTTAAGGCACAAACCACCCCTCACACTAAATGCTAGCTATTGGCCCTTCTACTAGAAGTTAAAGCATATAATTACATCATGGCTTAAGATCCCTCATTCTACATGGTCATCAATATAATCAACAAGAAATGGACGGGCAAGATAAACAGAATCAAGAATCAGTATAATGTCACATAGAAGTTGAACAAGTTCCAATGGAAAACATGGAGGTAACCTGGTTGTGTCAATTGCTAACTATATTTCTACTTGAAAGATCATTTCCTTGAAAGTAAGAAGCCAAAAACTGCAAAAGAATACCTTTGGAACCCAATTTGGAGGAACGTAACCCATTTGACACCAAATCATCAGGAGATGGGACATCAAACATGAAGGGGGCTGTTATCATCATCATAAATAATATTAGAAAATGAATTACGAAAGACAACTGTCTCCCATGAGACCCCCAAAAGGACAGTCATATATTGAGAGTAGAGAAAGGCCACGCTAGTTGGACATCAAATTTTCACCAGTAAAAAAGAAACAATGTTTATGTCCATAGATCAACATCCTGTTTTAGCACCTGTGCAGACCTATATTAAGCTTGTGATGGTTTTGAGAGCTAACAGCCTTATGGAAATCATGAAAATGTCCTTGGATATTTTCAAGCTTGTGGAAGTTAAAGCCCTCTGCTGTCAAAAAAACATCATTCCGTGGTCGAAAGATTACAGCCTTTTTGGGGGTCCGATGCGGCAATGATGCAAAAAGAGACTTGGCCATCATGGATGCTCCAGAATCTTTGCATATGCCATCAACTGCATGGAAAAACATCTATTCTATGAAGGGGCTAGGGAATTGAGATGAAACCTAGGTAATATGGACAAAAACATACTTGTCATTTCACAGCTTGATGCAAGCCGTCTGCACAACCACCTTTATTAAATGGAAAATTACAATAGAAAAAACAAGTGGGTGATAATGTCAAAATTGAGTCAATATATTTGAAAGCCAGAAAACTGCCAAAAACAATAGTGTGCATGGCACATAGAGAAAAAATGATAATCCATACAGCAGCTCACTTCTCCAAATATATTAACTGCACATCCACATTGTGACACAAAAAAACCAGATCAAAACACAAAAGAAAGAGAGCAATTGCTCACCTGTATTCATATGGCTGTTACTGTAATTTTTAACCAGCGGATTACGTAGAACCCCACATATGTCACATGCAGACATGTCATCTTCATTGTCATAAGTACAAATGGGGCAACGCCAAACCCCAGGCTTGATAGTTTCTTGCTTTGATTTTGTCTCGGGTGCATCACCTGTCATCAAAAGTAAAAGCAGTTGGTCTAAAACCATAACTAATATCAACCAAGTCATTCATGTGATACAAATGTAAAGTATAGTGCTAAAGGAGCTATACAGTAGAACAACAGCACAGATATATGGATATAGATTTTGCAACCTATCATCTAACAAAATCACCAACTCAACTGTATTTTCTGATGCAGCAAGAATGAAAAGATGAACAGCAAGCCGCCCAAAACAGATGTCATATACATATAACTTCTACTATCATCTCCTTTTCAACAAATTATTTTCTAATGCCTACTAAGTACTAACTCATATTTCACATGGATATACCCAACAAGAATATGTTTCCTTTTGGTTAGAGTGCATATATCAAATATATAAATAAGTATAACATCCTAAATTTGTATCTATCACGAAATCGAACTAGAAAGTGTATCTTTTAAGTCATTCCACCTTGAAACATAGAAAAATCAAGTTTATCCTTGATCCAACAGTTCACATAGTGTTGTTGTCACAGCTTAACATATTCCGCAGACAACTGTTCAATTTAAAACTTGTAGGTTACCCACATATGATTCAGTATGTGCCTCGCAACCAGAATGAAGTATCCCATGAAATTTGGCGATTATATTTAGAGTAAAAATGTTGGCAATTTAGCAGAACCTGTATAAGTATCAACCAGTTCGAGTTCAGGGAGAGGAGGCTCTTGAACCTTTATCAACTCCCCATTGAAGATACGAATGATTATTATTGTCAAGCCTTCACAGGTAGTTTTAAGTGGAACATTTATCATCAGACTTTCGCAGATACAAACACACTTGTCTTAGTGATTGTTGAAGAGTCCACAAACTAGATTTGCCAATGAACAGCTTGTCTGCCTTCTTCCATTTTCTTTTTTGGTGTGTGTGTGGAGAAGGTGTTAAATTGCTAGAACATACATTACCTCACTGATAAGAAAGGAAGTGAAGAAGGAACAAGCTACATATACATGTATGTAATGCAGGACAAAATCCAGTATTTAATTAATGCACATTACTACTATTATGGATGCTTTATTGTATAGTTACTTTTACTTTTTGCATATCTATTACCCAGTTATATGACACAACATATAGAATTTGATTAGTATGTTTACCTGCATAGTTTATATCATATGTCATAATGTTAACCAGTAACCTAACTTCAATATTTTATAAATTTTAGGTAACTGAAATATAGCATTTTCATATTAAATTGGAAAAGACACATTGAACTACAACCCCTTCCGTCCAGTAGTCGTGTGTTCAAATTATTCATGATGTCACAATTCTTAGCAAATCAAGCACTGTAGGATTTTAAATGGTTCTCCTTATGAACCTGACCATCAACAAGCTTATCCTGACTCAAGCATAAGAAACTAACAAAATGCAAGTCATCAACCAATTGAGTATATGCTAAGAAGAAAAGTACAGAATGAGAGATATTACTACCATAAGAACAATCTTCAAGTGGCAAGTGAAGCCATATTTGAATAATTTATGGAATAAGAAACTGCAGCTTGGAGGAGAGGAATACAGATAGAAATATGGGATATGTCACATCAATTGCCATTAAACTGAAAACACTAACAAGGAGAAAATTTAATTAGGGGGCAAAATGAGAAGCAGAGAAGAAAAATACACAAGACATTTGAGAAGTCAATGATTGTTAATTATCTAATAGGTGATACACGAGATGTCACTCAAGATGAAGTTCATACAGCAGCAAATTACCTAAAACAGCCAAGAGATGCTCAACATCCAGGATAGCCAATACGTATCTAGCAACTAATGGATAAAATTTCAAAAAAAAAAGGGGGTGAAAGAAATGCGCAGCCCCGAAATGTAATACTGCATGCCAACTTCACAAAAAAGGAAGAAAGCGTAAATTCAAAAAGTCAAGTACCATTTTCTTCTAAGTCATAATCATAATTCTCATTGAAATCTTCATAGATATCATAGTCTTCATCATAATCAACTCCATAATTAACTTTACGAGGCATGTTGCTAATATCTTCTGAAAAATAAGATATCCACCGAGTTTCTCATTATCTGCACAGTTCAAATGTATGTCATTGTTCTTACATAAACCAAAAGCTATCACAACTGCAACGATCAACATACCATGAAGATGCTTGAAAAATAAGTATCTTTAACCAGCCCCTAACAAGCTCATAATAATACCAAAGCTATGAAAAAATAATCTCACCCCTAAATCCTAGGACCAGACAATCCTTGATGCAATTAATCACTTAATTGCAGAGTCCAAGAGAAATTTAAGTTATTTAGGCGGCAATCATTCTAAAATGCCTGGGCTGTTCCATGAGTCAGGTTAGTAGTCGGAAAAAATAATAGCCTTGTCATCCATGAAGCAACCTGCAGACATCCAAAAACAAAAAAGAATAAAAACAGAAACAGTTTAGTAACATTTTCAGTTTTCTGTTTTCAAAAAAATAAAAACAGACAGATTTTTTTTTTTGCAATAAAAAGTTAAAATGGTTGTCGTTTCTATTTAATAAATTATGAAAACTAAAACAAAAAACATGTTTGATAACCTCATATTTAATAAATTTATATTTATATTAATTCCCTACTAAAAAATAAATCAAAATTCATGGAATAGTCGGATGAAAAATGAGCCAACTATTCATTCATGACTCATGAAGTCTATTGGGTGGATTAGGAAAAGTTGAAAGTAGTAGTGCTTAGACCTACAAGCAATAGCAAGATTTTTTCGGTGAAACCAGTAGCGGTGAAAGCTCCCCGGGGAAACCCACAAATTCTCCAACCACCATTACTCATGTTTCATCAAGAAGAATGCATTTGACTAGTACGTGAGACATGCAAGCTATGATCAATAAACCCAAAAACTTGAAGAAGTCCATCGTCTGCACACATAGACATAAAATCACACTCATACACAAACAGACTTACCAAACTCACACACACAGATCTCCATTTATATATGTATATAGATCTAACCTCTAAGAGAGAAATGGCTTCAGAGAGAAAGAGAGAGCTTTAAAATAAGGGAGAGCTTCAGTGACAGAGAACGAGCTTTGGTGAGAGAGAACTTCACAGAGGAGTTAGCTTCGGTGAGATAGAGCTTCGCAGAGGAGAGTTCGCAGAAAGTGAGAGAGACAGAGACAACCAAGACAGAAATGACAGAGAGAGATGGTGAAGAGTTGTATCCAAAAATATGACATATTTGCTTCTAAGAGAGTTCGAGGGATGAACCTCATTAAAGTCTCCCCCGCCCCCGCGTGTTTCAATTTTTTGTTGTTTTTTGAAACATATTTTTTGTTTTCAAAATCTGACCTTGTTTTCAAAACAAGTTATCCTGGAAAAAAAGCAAAAACACTTATCAAACACATTCATGTTTCTAATTTTTGCAAAAAGGAAAAACAAAAACAAAACACGAAACAAATACACTTACCAAACACACTATAACATTTTTGCTTTCAGTTTCTCTATAAAGGTCTTCCTATTGTTCTCTTTACGACACTAAGATAATCAACTAAGACATCTATAGTCTTTCCGTGCATTAACAATAATCATCTATGTTATTTACAGTTGCAATGAGGATTCTGCAAAATACGTAAATAATTTAGAATTCCCTCAATATTCAGGGTTATGTATTTGAACTAAAGCTCAAGAACCATATATAATAAGATTCATTAGCAATAGAAAGAGTTGGGTTAATACGTGCGCAACATTGGTGCAGAGGTACTTCCGGGTGGGATTAGAGACAGAAGCCAATCAAAAAAAAAGGAAAGAGAAAGAGTGGGATTTGCAAAGCAATCAAGAAGATTTTCTTGGAAGAGAGCAGACTCTCCATCAAAAGACACCTAAGCAAAACTCAATCAAAATTACCGTTCAACAAAAGCTTGTGTTCCATGAAGAAATGTGGTATAAAGGTTCTGATAAAAAGGTTGTCTCAAGGCATTCCTTCAAGGTTGCCACTCATCAATTAGAGTGTGATCATTTAGACCAATTCAAGGAAAGCGATGTCAGAGATTAGAAAGCAACGTCAGAGACATTAGAAATCATTGACAACTAACCAACAAGAGTAATCAGTTTATAAACAATTGCATAATGGATATAAACCATAGTTCCAATAAATTATATGCATGAGTATATAGGTGAGACGCCAACAGGCCAGAGGCTGCCATACCCCCCCCCCCCTTAAAAAAAAAACAAAAGACACAACAAAAAAGAAAAGAAAATAAGAATATTTTTTAAAACCTTTTTTGCTCTTCCTATCAAAGATTCATGTAAAGCCCCTTACGCAACCTATTTTTGGCCCACCGATATGGTTATGGGCCAAATTGTCAATGGGCCCAAAACTCACACCAATACCTACCGTTACATACACATAACAGCCTATCAACCAATTAAAACCATTAGCGCCTATGTAACAACACTGCATAAAGAGCCACTATTGGCAGCTAAACATAAAAGTTGTCGTGCACAATTTCTCCCTCTTTTATCAATTCGGTCTCCTACTCTCTCACTCAGCCTCCGAAACATACCATATACCAAAAATCTACCGCTTTTGAGTGAAATAAGACCATATTAAGCAAGAATCTCAAGTTCAAATGGCCAGGGTTCAAGTTTATCTCATACCAAAGATTTTCAAATTTTGTGAAAAACTCTCTGATTGAAGTTTAAAAACATATGTACCTTCATCGGTTCTTGATTTTGATCAATATTAGGTTTCTACATCCAATGTTTTATTAATTTATTATTCTATGTTATATTCTACACTTTCAATTTGATTTTTGTATTAAGAATTTAGTCACATGATGTTTTGATTTTCATCTGTTACTAAGGTAAATTATTTCTTCTGGAATTTATTTTTCTCTTTGTTCATTATTGAGTTTTAGGGGGTTTGCTAATAGTTTGATAAAATCATAGGCGTATCATCTGAGTATAGTTATGCGGATCGAGACAACAATTACCAAACATTGGGAGTTAGTGATCAGGTTCTATTATCAACGATTAAGAAAAAAGACAATTTTGTATTTCTATGTTGCTCATGTGGTTTCAAGTCATTTGGACTTTATGACAGAAAATGGGAGGGAAAAGAGAGATTATTGAAGGTTCAAGTTACGGAAACTAATTCTTCTCACAAAGGGATAAGACTATGTATATCTGACACCCCTAAGCCCCATAATGACGGGTATTTGTGTACTAGGCCCTTATTTTGCTCATATGGCTTAATTTTCACCACTGCCCAATAGCATAATCTCATTAAACTTTCCCTAATTCCTACATCTGGACAATATAACGGGATATAGTAAATTATTGCACACAGATAGACAGTAACTGACTTTATAAAAAATGCAACGATGTATGCATATTGCTACCAGTGTTATTAAAGTCGGACCGGACCGACAGCCGGATCAACCCAGTGACCTGTCCAAATGGTAACTTAGTCGGGCCGATTCCATGATTAGATCAGTTAAGTAATCTACCCAATGAAAACCCATTCAAACCGAATGAATTTTCACAAAATCAATTTAAACTGGATGATTTTCACAATCCAAACAGGTCTCTTTTGCACTAGAATAAAATATTTAACTAAGCCTTAGCTGCCATCAACGGCGGCATGGTTCAACTCATTTCATCAGTGCGTCAACAATGAGGTTGTCAAGCCAACGCCGCATTACGAATAGCAGTTGGCCTAAGTAGACTTTTTATAGAATAATAGAACTATAGTGCTCCTATCTTGCAATTACTTTCTAATGTGGGATGGGGTGTTAACGGGGAAGTGCTTGCCTTTTTCTCGTATTACTTTATAGTTTTCTTCCAATCTTTTTTATCCTTTAGTTTGGTCATCATAATATTACTACTTATGTCAATCTTCAATACCTATTTCTGGAGTTGTTATATTCTATCAGATATTATAAATTGTCCAAGAAAATTGATTATTTTTAAAAAAATTTTTGGTGTTCTTATTTGATCCACTATAGCGTAAAACATGTTATTTTTGTACCTCTTAATTTTTTTTAGTATATTCATCGTTATTAATAATTATTTTTTATTTTAAGTTATATGGCCAATCCGACCAATTGACCGAGCGGTTGAAATCCATTGACCTAGTGTCTATGCTTGATTGATGTTTGAGTTTGGTTTGATATCTATGATTGCTAGCCACCTTTGCTATGTGATCCCCGTACAAAAAAAAAAAAAAAAAACCAACTCCACCAAAAAAAACAATAAAAAAGACACTTTTGGCTCCACTGCTATCGATGGAAACCCGAGTTTTGAAGAAAGAAAAAACAAAGGCACTTGTGCACATACTATTGCTAGAATGGTCTCCATCAACCCTACATCCTTTCTGAAGGACAAGTGCAATGTTTGTGGAACAAAACAAACTCATAATAGATATACACACAATCAATAAGGTTCCTATATATTTTTATCAGAAAGTTCTAACCATCCTAGTTTCACAACCAATAGTATTCATTTTGTTCCCTAAGAAATTTTCTTGATGCAGAATTTTTTCAAAAGGCCTGCACCAGTACCAAGCTTAGTGAAGATGATATCAACATTGGAAAGCCAAAATTAGAGGCATCAGTAGACCAGTTTGCATAAGATCTGACAACAGACTGTCCACCACCCCAATGAAAACCCTGTCCTAACAATCTTGAAGGGAATAACATAATTGAATCTAGTTGTTTCATGGAAGATATAGTACCTTGTGTGCTACCAAGACAAATCATAGACCTAAAGATCACTTTCACTCAGAATCATATTAAGAGACAACCAACAGAACACCAACACTGCGAAACTCACTTTATCCCAAATGCCCATGCAAGCACATTTGAGAAAGAAACCAATATTCAATCTTCACCCTACAGTCCAGTGCTAAATCTAAAGAAAACCTAATTGTCAACATTAGAACACACGTGGATGTGTTTGCGTGTGAGAGGGACAGAGACAATAGGGAGAGAGTGGGGGTTGATTCAAATTATAAGTGAAGATAGTGGTTGGTCAATTGAATTTATGATTGTGGAGACTACTTGCATAGGGAGACCAATCTAGGTCCCCTACCACAAAAATCTATACTACTTAGATATGCCCTGAAGAGGACAAAGAGACTTAATCATCATGACCTGATATGTATACTCATGATGGGTTTATATACAAATAATTACCTCCAATGAAATGAATGGCTTTAGCAACATTGATGCAATACCAGTACCTGCACAACACCAGAAACCCATTATCAACTTTACTTCTAACCTCTAAGAAGAGCACAACCACGCGTTTCTAGAACCTTCACCAGGTTCTTCAACCTTCAAGGCACACCTTAGTTTCCCCAAGAGTATATCTTGTTGAACATAAAAGTGCATAAAGAATGGGAAGAATCGGTCACCTGAGGACTTATTTTTCCCCATTCAATAATGAATATTGCAGTCCAAATTTTAATCAATACAGTACAAATTCATTGCAACAAAATTGATCAAAGTCGGACCCAAAAATTTCATGACAGATAAAACAACCAAAAATAATCCGTAACAGTTCTTCAACTGCCCACTTGGTCAATTGCATGATTTCAAACTCAAGTACATAAAAGAACATTTAGAAAAAATTTTAACTCAATTCAATTTGCCCCAATTTCAGAACCCTAAACCCTAAAGTATAATTGGAGTCCCAATTTAACACTAAAAGCATCACACTTTTGAAATTAACAAACTGCCATCTACTACCCTCAAATGGAAGGATTGAACATGAAAACTAAACTGTGTGTAAAGTGAGAGTAAGAGAGATGAATCTGTGAGAGGAGAGAAAAGAACCTACCTGACAGAGACCTGAGACTGAGCTGTAAGGTCGAAGCTTAGGTGCGCCGCTGGTGATCGTCCGAGCAATGGGATTCGAGGGAGATCGAATTCGAGAAAGAACAAAGAATGAGCAAATGTTCCCAAGGGGTGACATGGGGTTATTTGTATAGTGTTACGGTTGGAATAATGAGATCCCAGTGAGGGCAGTTTTGTCAGCAAGATTTTCATTTAACCTTCCGTTTAAGCTATAGGCCTACAGGCAACGAATATGCTACATCGCCTATTGTGGGAGAAGTCTACCTAGAAAAACGAATATATTTTTTATTATTTTATAAATGATCTTAAAAATATAAGGATCGATTAGAATCGGCAATTTTAACCTATTATTCATTAATTCGTCCAATCAGTCCATAAATTAATGGGTTGGATACATATATTAATTAATATGAATTCTAAATGGATTGGGTAATATCATTCATTTTAATTAAGCGGGTTAATATGGATTATAAAACAGTTACTCATTGGGTTAAGTATTTATCTTTTTATTAAATAACATAAGTAATACAATTAAATAAATATACTAATATACCAAAAAATACACACACTATTACACAAAAAAATATACACATGTACACTAATATACCAAAATATACACACACTAATACACTCATGACCCACGTGTCGACCCATGAGTTGAACCATGACCCATGATTGATCTGCGACCCCTATGGGTTGACCCATAGCCCACAATCACCCCGACCCATTATTTGTCTATTTTTTTTTATTAAATGTATTTAAATTTTTGTGTTAATATATATGTGTGTATTTTTGGTGTATTTGTTGTATATTTTTAGTGTATTAGTTTGTGTGTGTTTTGGTGTATTAGTGTGTGTATGTTTGTATTTTAGTGTACTACTAATATGTATTTTGATGTATTAATGTGTTCATTAAAAATTTTAATTATTTTATGGGTTAATCGGTTTAACTCAACCCGTTATAAACCCAACCAATTATAACTCATTTATTACATGAGTGAAAAATATATTAGATTTATTTTAGCTCAATCCAATTTAACCCAACCCATGACCAACTCAACCCACTCATTTGTCACCTCTAGGATCAATCTTTATAATGTTAGGATCAATTTAAGTACCCAAAAAATTATAAATTTTTTTTATTAAAAGCAATTGAGTAATATTCCATTCATCAAAATATATTACATCATGTTGTAAGGTTGGAAACAAAAATATAGGAGTCTATTCCCACCACACATACATAAATTTTTGTACAAACGTGTCATCTTTGACAAAACATTAGCAAACCTCATTTCCAGATCTACCTATACAATTGGCTGAGAAGTGATCTATCCCAAATCACCCCAATAACACCCTTAGAATCCCCTTCTAATTTCAAGTTCTCAAAGTTTAGCTTTATTCCAAATGATGCTATCATTGTTTCCACGTATTCAGCCTTCAGTAATCCCTTAAATCATTGACATAATCAAGCTACAAAACTTCCTTGGTGGTCTTTGATTACCTCCCCCGAGAGTCTCCTTGAGTTCGATTTAGCACCATCAAAGTTTTATTTTGAAAGTCTCGAATAGAGGAGACCATTTATCTAAAGAGTTCATCTCAGATTGTGGTTGTGGGATATTGAAGTTTGGGGTCTTCTTTAATTGGTTAAACTATTGATCTGTAAATTCCATAATTTGGGATGGTGAGAATGTTTCTTGCTATAATCTTGCTCGATTTCTATCATCTTCACCATCAACGCTTGAAACGAGAAAAAAAAATCTTCCAACAATAGATTAATTCCTTCAATTTCCCCAACTTAGGTTGCAAATGGACATTCAAGAAAAAAATATGATTAACAAATTCATTTGGGGTCCCGCAAAAATAACATTCATTCTCCATTGGGACATGTCTTCTTCGCAATTGATTTTGGGTTGGCAGAATATCGTGACATAGTCTCCACATAAAGAGTTTGATTTTATTTGGAATATGAAGATACCAAATGAATTCTCCAAGCCAAGACACTCCACTGCTACAAGTTTCATCACTATGCCCTCATTTCAGATGTAGCCCAAACTCCATCGTTAGGTGATAAGCATTCCTCATCGTGAAGCTTCCAGATTGAGTATAGTGTCATACTAATCTATCTAGGGGAAATTGCTCAGTAATAGGTATGGATGCTATATCTTCAATCTCAATTTCTAGAAAATTTTGTTTTAGCACCTCCATATTCCACCATCCTTTTTCTTTGTCTATCAAATCACTTACTAATGTATCTTAGATAATCTTGGAAAGGGATTTATAACTTTAAAAGTTGAGGCTCTTGGAATGTAAGACCGCGTACTATAATAACATATAGATAATATGATCTTAAAAGTTCTTCTAGTATAATTAGTATGATGATAGGAACTTTGAATCATTCTTGAAAAAGCAGTCCTGAAGTTTGAGTTTCGCACTATTGAGTTTCAGAGGCCTTTAAACTTTAAAATGAGTAGTTAGGTAAGTTTCTAATAGTTTTTAGGTAAAAATAATGTTACCATTGAATTTGAAAGATCGAGAAACCTTGGAATAGGTGATATGAGATGTATTAAAAATTTTGAGGTATTCTGAACCTTAAACATGTTTTTGGGAGAATTAAGATAGGAAGGAATTTGAAACTATCTCAGTATATTAGCCATAAATTTGTATCTCGATGTTCGATTAAGCTGATTCTTGCGGAATTAGAAAGTACACTTCAATAGCTACAAAAGTGTATTTTATGAAAATTTTGTGAATCGATCTCTAACTAAGTCAAAACTAAGCTGAAAGTTTGGGCAGAAACTTAAATGTGTTTATGTTCGAACACAATTTTGATCTCACAATCATGATCAGGGTAAAAGAGAAATACTAGGAGTAAGAGCCATTCGAACACAAAGGCGATTTTGTCTCTGATTAGGTGTCACCGTTTTATTCAGTTTTTGTCCAATAAATACTCTAGAGACTCATTGTAGGGTTCTTTTACATGTTTTTCAACCCTAAGAAGCCTAAGAGAGTCTTGGAAAGAAGAAGAGGAAGAAGAAGAGTAGATCGGGCTAGATCTTGAGGGGATCAATACGTAAGCAATCTCACAAAACAAGATAAAATAATTTTCTATAGAATTAAGGTAGAGTGTTTCTTACCCTTTCCTATTCATTGAGGCTAGGCCTTATGTATATGTAATTTTTTATTTAACTCCATATATATACTCTATATCTATACTTTTTTGAAATTATTACAAAATCATGATCACTTTTCATTGGAAAAATACATGATTTAAATCCAAATTATACATTTTGATCAAAAAATCCTAGATCTTGAATATGATCAAACTTATAATGTTTCTTTGCGATCTCTTGCATGTTTTCTTATGATTTATGGTATACATGGATGCTATTGAAAAGTATGAACATTGTCTTTTGTATGGATGGGTGTGATGAACTTGAATTACATTCAAACTTATATAGCAAAGTGTTTAAATGTGTTTTTTACCTAGAAGGGTGCGAAGGTTTTCTATCGCTTGTAGTGGTGTGTTAGTTCCTTGCAGGATTTCAAGCCACTATTCGTTCATGAGATTTGAGACTGAGAGTTAACATACTACTTCTGGGAAGATTTCGTTAAATATTGATGCATCAGTATACGCACTTCCTAAAACTTTGTGGTCCTTCGGGTTTGATTTCAAAGAAGAAATTTGTGGACCAGATATATTTGGTGAATGAATTATTGCTAATTAACCTACATACATGAGATATCCTTGTTTTGATTTTTTGCTTTAAGAATGAATCTACTATTTTATGGATTTTTTGTTTATATATCAAAACTTGAGATTGTTATAATGTCACATATTTTACTTCAAAAGCTATATATGTTATTTTATAAATCTGAGACCTACCTGTTTTTATATAATTTTGTAAACCTTGTTTAGATTTGAGAAAGTTTCTCTACTAGGCAAATTTTGCTCACCCCTTCCTTAAAAAAATTTAGATTTTTATATTGAAGAGGATACAAACTTAGGTGATCAGGTGGAATTGAATTTTGATGCAGATCAGCATGTGGATCTGACTTTCGAGGCTTAGAGATTCATTCACCAATTTTAATTTTATTGTTTGATGATGGAATAATGTTTATGAATATTATTTAGATAAATGAAGTTATTTGGTTTTCCTTGAGGTTTTTGGGATGTAAACTTAAATGGTTAGTTTATGTTTCTCTTGGGATTTTTAGTGAGTTGAAATAGAATATTGTTGTTTTTGGTTTAATTTATGGTATCTTTAGTTATGCTCTCATAATTTTAAAGGTTATTAGTTAATTCATGTTGATTTATGGACTTGGGGCGTGACAAATTAGCCATTTATTATGTGGAAGATATAGTTTCCTCAAAGCCAACCAGTGATTCTTTTTCTCATTCTCCTTTGATCCCCACTAGAATTTGGCCATCAATTTTTTTAATTCCTTGCACAGTCCTGTTGGTAGTTTAAAATAGAACATGGTGTATAGGCCATCGCCTGTGCAACAACCCTAATAAGGATTTATTTTTCAACTCTTGATAGTAACTTCCCCTACCATCCTTGCACCTTAGCCTCCAGATGTAGTCTAATTGAATCAAAAAGCTCTTGTTTAGATCTTCCCACCATTGATTGTAATCTCAAACATTCCCAATGATTGTCAACCATAGGAATCTGCAAAATGTGTGTAATATTTTATGAGCTTCTTGTGGATCAACATTGATGGGTTAAGCCCAAGTAGTCCAATTATGTATTAAAAGCCCAACCCCGGTTGAGGAGCCCAACCTCATCCTGAACCCACCAAGTCCAAGACAGACCAAGGCCGGCTAGACTTCTTGCTTAGCACGTCACCAAGAGGAGAGCACGGTTGAACTTCTTGCTTAGCACGTCACCAAGAGGAGAGCACGGTTAGACTTCTTGCTTAGCACGTCACCAAGAGGAGAGCACGGTTGGACTTCTTGCTTAGCACGTCACCAAGAGGAGAGCACGGTTAGACTTCTTGCTTAGCACGTCACCAAAAGGAGAGCACGGGAAGCTTATCAACGGTCCAATCTTTGACCACGTTTCCTTGAAGAGTTCCCCAAACTCTTCCTTCCGTTGAGGATAAGTCGTGATCTCCACCGAAGATAATCTCTAAGCTGCGATAAAGAAGCCTTGAGGATATGTCATGATCTCCACAAGAATGATCTCTTATCTA